GCTTCAATTAGGTTTTGATTGGTTGAATGCAAGAAGCTTCTTAACTTAATTTAGTGAGGTTCTTATCTTTTTCTAATTTGGTTTTAGCTGATTTTACTTCGGTCTCTAGTTGAGTTTAACTTTATCCTAATCTGTTTTGATTCGGTTCAAAGTTGATTTACTTCTATCTTGAAAAATCATTTTGTTTCACATGTCCGTTGGTGTTTAGTTTCTTTTCATGGAACTTCATTGGATGTTAACTAAACTATCTTGATCATAATTTACTCGATTTTACTTAGCTTTTGGTTGCGTGTTAATGGATCTTATTAGGGCTTAAACTGAATTTCATTTTTTTGAGTTTGAAAAGATTTTGCAGTGTCTCTAATTTTCTAAGTTAGATTTAATCAGACTGCGGTTGAACTCTGATTTAAGTTGAGATGAGATTTTCTATCGTTTGACTAGGTTTTACGGGTGTTGGAGTTTGAGGGTTGAGGGTTTAGGGGCTTGCTCGGCGGGGAGGGAAGGTTAGATCTTTTTCGCCGTGAGGGGGGGTCTTATGTGCTGAGCATCTCTTGTCGATACAGCATAACACAGACACGCGAAATCATGCAGCTCCTGCTTGGAATTCTTCAGCATATGCAGGTGTACCGCGGTCGACTGCTGACTGGCGGAGCAGCTTCGTCCAAGGCAAGGAATTCTTGAGTGATGTTGCGCAGTCTCATATCCGTAAAGCACGCACACAGCTCTTAGCCAAGTAAATCATATCCAAGGAAGCACGCAAAAACCCAAAGAAGGATAGAAGATCCTTTGATATCTCTGTGCCTCACGGGAGGCGTCACCGCTTCTGGCACTTGGGGTCCGGCTACAGCGCTTTTGCGGAGGCTTGATGCAGGATTTGCATGATGAGGTGTGATTTGTGCCTTGAGACGTGCGTCAAAGCTGCCTGATCCTCCGATGCGAGTCCTTTATTTCAAGTAGAGAGTTAGAGAAGGCAACAGAAGAGACACACATGAGTACATGCTTTGCCAGGTGCTTGCTCATCGCCTGGACCCATGTGTATGGAGGTTGGCGGCAATTTGCTTGACTACGCTAGACATCAACGGTGTCGCTGTCAGCCTCATCTGTACAGGTGGCAGTGAAAGTTGTGCACCCGCAGGTGGGCAAGATTTCACCTCTTGCAAGGCAGCTGCAAGCTTTCGGGGCGCACTGCGCAGGTGCAGCGGGCCGTAGAGGTGGACCTGCAGGCATGCAGCTAAGGGTAATTACTGATGGTCACAGGTTCCGGTTGCAGTTTCAGATTTCTAATGGTACTAGTGGGACGGAAGAAGATAGGAGACATGACCTCAAGCAGCAAATCTCTTGAAAGCTGAGCTAGACCCGAGTTCAATCTGCTTCAGCAGAGCTGCAAAAGCAGTCTGGGAAGTAGAGCAAATCAATGAGTGTCAGAACGCGGGATGGGGGCCACGGATGGGGTTGCTCGGTCAAAATAAATCTACGGCATAGAGAGGTGAGGGTGAATGGGCTAGTGTGGGGAGTTGGACCCCGGTATTCCAATCATACTGTACGTTTTATGTGCTGTGCGCCGAGCTTTCGCTGACAGGTGCTTGATCGCCTGGCAGGCTTCTCATCATACCTGGGGATGGACAGGCACCGCACCATGGGGCATGCACGGATACTCCCAGTCCGGCCCGTGCTTGGGTTTTCAGCTGCATGTGCGCAATGAATGCAGGTAGGAGATGTACACATTTTAAAGCAGCTACGGCGACTGCTTCACTTTGCGCACGACAGTCTGATGGATGTCAACGGACAGCTGTCACATCAGGCTTCTTAGATTTCTTAGTAGCAGCAGTGGCATAGGTTGGGCATGCCGCTGATGCTGCGGCAGTTCTCATCCTTCCTGAAGGCACCGAAGCTGCAGCTCCCAGTTGATCAATTTTAACTGCGGCCTGGAAGGCCCAAACAGACTTACGGACAGAGGCACAGAACCTGCGGAGGCTTCTATGGGTCATCTCCTTAAATCAATAGGGAGATGTCCTTGTTGTTTTGTGCTGTGAGGCTAAAACAGCTTCTTGGTCCGAATGATAGCAGCGTCGTCATCCCTGAGGCTCCCGTCAAATGAGTTCTTCTGTTAGTTAAAATTTTGTGGCAAACGGAGCTTCGTCAATTTTTTCTCTTGACAGGTCTTCGACGGATGGGTGTCCCGCAACGTGCTTGTCATGAGCTTTGAGGACTGCTGCGAGAAGTATGAAGGCGTGTTTAGGCTTCAGTCAGGTTTAAGAGCAACTTGTTTGCTCTTGCATGGCTCTGCTTGCGTTTGCACAGCCAGTCCCGTGCCTGAATGTTGCCAGGAGGGAGAGCCTCTGTCATCGTTGCTGGACGCCTCCGATTCAAGTTTGGAGCGGGCGAGGCCAACTCTGCAACGCTGAGCATCTGAAGCCGAAAACAGCGAAGCCATCTAGAAAATGCATGGAGCAACACCAGGCTAGAGGCTTGGCGAATCCTTGTGGGAGCCTCAAATCATTTGGCTACTCCCGAAATCGAAATATTGAACCTCTTGCATCCAAGGTGGACAGCTTCTGGGCCATGGTTTTCAAGTACCGCTTCGTGCCAACCTTGGAGCTGGTGCTGGAATCTGAGAAGTAGAGCGGAAGCATTCGCAAGGTGCATGGAGACTTGCATCCAGGCCTTGGCATGATCTCATGACATGTGACATGTACATGTGACTCATTTTCCTTGTCCTGCAGGAAACATTTTCTGGCGGCGGCATGTCGATAGAGCCGGGAAGGCCTTGCGCGGATCATTTTTGTCATTGCTCTGTTCTCAGAGCTGGCAAGCAAATGCTCAAGATTAAAAAGCTCCTGCTGTAGATAGAACACTGGCATGTTTTCAGCAGTCGGGAGCAGGCTCCTGAGACATGCGTCGAGTCTGTAGACAGTGGACTCAAAAGCACAGAAGGTGGACTACTCATTGCGCCCGGGCTTTGACAGAGTGTACTGGAGAATTTCATGACGCGAAGACGAGATGTGCAGTTTCTTGTCAGTCGTCTGCGTCGGCTAGTTGGCTGCGAGGGCAGGGCTCTCGTGCTAGGCCCCGAGACTAGCACCATTAGCAAGAGACGAAGCCGGCAACCCTTACAATCCCGCACAGGCTGCAAGTCACTTTCGCCCTAGGGCAGGAGGTCAAGTCTACAGAAGCGGGAGGGGGGCTAAACCAGGCTAATTATTTTTCCTGGTCTGACCAAGGAAATGCGCAGTTTTATGTTTTCTCATTCTTGTTGCCAGTTCGTGACCGCTGAACCGCATCCTAGCCTTGCATGCAAACCGTAGCTGCCGCAGCACACATGCAATGCAGGTTCAGTTGGTGTTGCTTGACTGCGGTCTTGTGATTGCAGTTGCCCCAGACTCGCATTACCTCATCTGGTCTTCAGAGCTGCAGCTACAGATCAGGACCTTTCCGGCGAAGCTGGGGAAGACTTGTCAGCAATGTTGAAGGCCAACTGAGCTCTTGAAGATTTCAGTCTCACACCGTGGGTGCAAGTGTCAGCTTTCTTGCTTGGCACCGCAATGTTCCGTGTTATTTACTGTGTCGTCGAGTCTAGCTGTTCAGAGATGGGCATCTCCGGCTTTAGTGTTTTTCATGGTCTTGTTCACCTTGAGGCATTCCTGACAAAGTCTGAAGAGGAAGTGGCGTTTGAGCCTTGAAGCAATGTCTGGCAGTGCTTTCTGTCATCTATGCCACAGCTATGCAAGTCAAGGCGCTTGCTCATCACGCTAAGTGAGCGGGTCGGCGGCAAGCCGGAGGACCAGACTTTTCTTCGCAGAAATTTAGCCGCCTGTCGCCAAAATCTGAAAGACATTTTTTCCCAGGACGTAGTGGAACCGGAAGGCTTTGTGCAGGGTATTGCTGACCTCATCCGCGCAGGAAAAGGGGTTGGCTTCAGGCCGAGAATCATGCCACATGCAAGCGGCTCCTTTCGACCTCTTGCCCCATCCTTGTCAGGCTTTCCAAGCTGAATGCTGGGTCACTCATGGGCCAGAGCTTGCTGCCAGGGTCTTAACGATGATGCAATGTAAGCTCGGAGTGTGTAGCCACCACACCTTTCTGTTTCCCTTGATCCTCGAATTTCAACAAAATGAAGCGTCTCCTTCCTCAGCTGAGGCTGGGACGAAAACACGGCGTGCGATTTGACGCCCGTTTTGTAAATCTGATGGTGGCAATGGTTGTGGTGCAGGTCGGGTTGTTTGTTTGAAAGGACTGTGCAGCACAGACCCTGATCTCAAAGTTGCATCGCGTGCAGCGGCCTTCAAAGCATGGTTGCAAAGTGCAAGTGCGTGTGCTGTTGGCTTCTGCAAGCTTGAAATTTGTGCAGGGTGTCTCACTTCGACTGAATGGAGACGGAGATATCATGTCCAGGCCGGAGGTGATTCGGTTAGGACTAGGCATGTTCTCTACTTTGCATTTGGCAGGTTGACAGCAGTGAATAGACAAGGGTAGGCAAGACAAGTCAAATGGACCTCTGGCCAGGATGTGTCCGTTTTTGTTCGGTGCAGCGGTGCAGACCCTAAAGGGAATTGAAACATCTTGACTCAGTTTGTTTTAGTTTTGGCGTGCTTTGTGCAGAAGACCTTGAGGTGTCTCATGTGACAGGGTGACGAGTCGAGGACTTCGTTCTCCTCGGAATGCAGACAGACCGCATTAGCTAGATAGCTCCCAGAATGCATGCGAATGGCCTCGTCGAGCTAGAAGTGGATTGTACGCACGTGGCACATTTGCTTCGGGAAAGTAGGTTGCTGGCCGTTGGCTCCTTTCTGATCCATTTGTAAATATGTCGTTGAGGCTTGTGAGTGCACTGAGTGCCACCTGTAGGCGACTTCAGCACACTCACGAGATCAAGCTATATGTCCAGTACCTCAACATCCCGTAAGGGATGCCTTGCAATGTGTGCAGCAGCCATGGGGCTGTTGCCGCAGCCGACTTAGCTTGCGGCCTGCCCTTGCAATGCAAAGCGCGCTGCTGGTTTTCCGCTGGGTCGGTTTGCAACCGCTACAGCAAAACGGATCATCTACGGCACCCTGCAACATCACCCTTCGCGTGGCGATTGTCAGCTGCACCACACAGTGTGTACAGATGGGTCATGTAACCCAAGGATTGGTGCCCGGTCTGTGCCACTGGCTGGGGAGGGCTTTGAGTCTTTTGTGCAACAGCGAGCATTCGCGCTAGACCATTCGGGCTTTAAAGCAGAGAAAGCGTTGGCTGGCTGAGGATGCATTGCATGCCGTCTACTGTGCTGTGACATGTACAATCTTTCCTTCATTCAAGGTTCTGAAAGAGCGGAATGTAACTGACGAGACAACTGGGCAAAAGAGGGGGTCTTCTCCAAAAAGTGCATATTAGACTTATGGTGAAAGCAGGGCCAGAAGGCATCCAGAGCTTCCGTTTATGCGGTGAGCCTAGGCTTCTTAGTACGGCAGACCACCAGCCTTGGATCCGTGATGTAGATCCAGTGCATGGGAGCACCCATGGCGGTGCCAGGTGCGCTACAAAGCTTCGTGTCAAGATACACTCTCTCCGTGTAGCAGAGCAAGAGAGCACACATCTGATTGAATATCTTTCCGTTCTCTGGAGGCGGGGGCAATTGCGCGTGAGTGAAGCGTTGGGAGGCGCTTTCAAGTCCTTGCGGCCCACGGGGAAGATCCTGGACTGCTCGAGGGTGAAGCTTGGTGACTCAGGATGGCATGTCCGTTGGTTCCCGTTCGTCAGTGCTAGAAATTCCAAAGTTGGACTTTGCAAGCAAAATGGTGCATGATATGTCTCTGCACAATGGGCTTGGATGTATCGGCTCAGCGTCCCATGAGAAGAGCAACATGACCCAGAAGCCACCGCACTCGCAACCCCAAATTACGGTCCAGCTAGTCTTTTTGTTGCTTCGCGTCAAAGCTGGTCTCCCATATTATTTTCAAGTGCCGAACTGTTATCCTTCTAGGGGCTCAGAATTTCATGCTGCTCAAGTCTTAAGCTAGTCTTTACACCCACCTGAACTGTGGTCAGGGAGTTTCGGGTTTCCGCGCTGCTGAGATTTTCTCAAGTGCCATGGCCGTGGCCACTGTAGGCTCGCGAGCCAGGCAAGAACCGTCACATGCCGAGAGCAACTATCGTTCACAATTTGAGTCTGGAAGGGAGGGAAAGCAGGTAATGATGTGGAGCTTGCTTTTGAGTTGGTTTCTATGTTTGGTGCTCCAGCAGAGCAAAACAAAAAGTCGCCATCAACGATGGGGAGATGTTGGCTTGGCAGGCTTGCTGCTAGGTTCCTGAGACATGGTTTGCCTTCGGGGCCCCTAGCTAGTCATTCACGTTGTTCTTGACGGAAGCTTCGATCGAAGAGCTCTTCCTGAGCTCGGTTGGTTGTTGAGCGCCGCCTACTCTGGTCTGTTCTTTGTCTCGCGCATGGCTTGCAAAGCTGGAAAGCGCATCATGCAAAGCACAGGTAGCCTGCTGTGCTGCAGCACAACGGGCTGCTGGTACCATGACAGGTTTTTTGTCACTATGACAGGTTTTTGCTGACAATGACACGGGCTTAGGGCGATCCCGAAAAGGACCCAACCACAGACTTGCATCCAGGTCTTTGCCCAGTCGAGGCGCTCGACGACTCGGGCATTCGCCGCTGTTGTTGCTTGACATGGCCGGAGTGAAGGGATATTCTTGCCGGCACCTCCTTTGGTTCTTCTATCGTGCGCTTCGCACCTCCCTTGTAAAGTGCAGCTGTCAACAGTCTTTAAAGCAGCTTGACTCCCTGCCCCTCAAACCGCTTCAGCTCTCACTAGCCTTCTTGTAGTGAGCCTTTTCGTTCTGTCTTGTTTGCGCTTCAGCGCGCTGTTGCTTGTAAGCCTGAGCTGCACCAAAGGTTCCTCCTGGTTAGCGTTGGGGCCTACGTGGCCACCAGGACCGCAGCCAGCGTCATCTGGACATGACCTAAAGCTTTCACTCAATGCGTTGTCTGTTGGATTGAAGGAGTTTTCATGGATTCGGGGGCCTGACATCGGAAGGCCGGATGTGTGCTTTGGTTGTGGATCTATTTGAAGCTGAGCAGGTTTCACTACAGTTGGATAAAAAGGACGCGAGTCCAAACCAACCTTTCCACAGCTTCGGGACTTGGACAGGCACGTCGGATGAGTCTGCGTTCCTACAGCCCGCTCGAGACATCGAGGGGCTTGGCCGACCCAAAGCCACGATCCTCCGCGGCACTGAGAGACATCACTGGACGTTGAGCTCTCCTCGAGCTCGAGAAGAGTTGGAGGGGTGCCACTTGGCTCTGAGGCCTGCCCTGAGGGGGCAGCGATCCAAAGTTGGTGCCGGAGATCAGGACTTAGCCTTGTTCTGGTATGGTAAATCCACAGCATCAGATTTCTGACACAGGATAGCACAGCCGTTCTCGAGAAAGCCATTGGAGAAGAGAAGAATGGTCACAACAGCCTGTTTTCTCACTAGCTGCGCTATTAGGCACATCGGCCATGGCATTTTCTGCCTGTTGCCAGGGCACTCTGAGTACGATGAATCCGTGTCGGATGACGTTGCCCAGCTTGAGCGACAGGTGCACGTCTCTGAAGCCGCTCCGAAACCACAATCCAAGTCCACACAAGAAAATGAGCCATATTCATGAAGCAGCTTTGCTCTGCTTCCAGTGCAAGCAGCTATTCAGTTTGCCCAAAGCTGTTGAACGTTAACCGGGGAGTCTGTGGCTTCAGCCCGTCTTGGTCAGGTGTCGCCTAAGTCCTTGGAGTTCGAAGAGCCGACCGAGACATGGTGGCCTGGTCTCGTTTAGAAATGCAACCAAAAGCATTGCATGGGCTTCGCAAAGGGATTTTGCAAGTGTCTCATCACTTTCAACGAAACACTTTCAACATTCATTGAATTTTAGAGGGCTTGTTCCGGGCAATTCGCATTCCCTCCATGACATTCGCTCTAAAAGGCCACGCCAGACCATCTTTAAGTGGAAACGACCCCTACTGACAGTTGTGCGTAAACTTGTGGGGGCGGAGCACGGACATGTACAGCAGGAGTAAGCTGAACTCCCCTTGACCCGTTGTGATCTCCTGCGCACTCCAACAGCATTGCCAGGCAGGGCCTAGAAATCTTTCGCAACCAGAATGTGGCGCCAACATTCGGCAAAAAACATCTCCCAAGCGAAACCTGACCTGGGAATTTTGAAATCCATGCCATACAATTTGTTAGGTCGCCACCAGCATGGCTGTTGGCGGTCGCTTCGCTTGCGCTTGGCTTGGCGATGGGTTTGGCACTGAGGGGTGCCGCTCCTGCGCCTCCGGCTCCTGTGGCTTTGATTGCAAACAAAAGAGCCTTGTTTTCTGTTGCAGCTGTGCGCCCTGCGCGCCTCGACCTTCACTCTAGGCCATGTCGGTTGCTCCGCAGCCGGAAGCTGCTGTTGTGGAACAGATGCCGGAAGCAACAGTCTCCAAAGTCGTCAACCAGGCTTCTATCTGCCTTTAGCCAAAACACAGTTTTCTTGGAGAAGTCTTGAGTGCCCAGCGGGTATTCGGAACAATCCTCAGAATTCATCCTTGGCCATGTTGACCTGGACCAGTTGGAAAAGTTGGAGAACGTGGCAGAGAAGAAGATCCCAAATGTGGTGAAGCAGGCAGGAATGCGCCAGACCAGTTTTGCAGTGAAGACCAAGACGTCAAGCTGCGTGGAGTTGCGATGGCGCAGCTTTCAAGTTTCGGGTGTCAAAGCTTCTGTGTTTGTCTGCTGGTGTTATGCGAAGGCACAGACCGTGGCCGCAAAGGCCGAGATCCTAGCATTTGGAACTGTGCCATGTGTGTCGACGTGTTCTTGTTTCTACGTTCTGCAAGGAAGATGTTGAGTTGCTGTTTGCAGTCCGATGGCTAGGTCAAAACGTCAGTGGCCATCATCAACGAGGCTGGCCCAGTTACCTCGCGAAGTCTTGCAGGAACAGTTGGCATGAGTTCCAATGCAAGAGGCTGAATCCAAGCAAGACCAGCAGATGAGATATGATGATAAGCTGGCCACACACCTGCAAGGAACATTCTAGAGTGTGCTTTACTTGCCATGTGGAAGCTAGCTGTTGAGGCACAGATGTACACGGGCCTCATGGACTCTGCACGCGCGGCCGGTGCAAAGCTGCAGGACGTGGTGCAGAAAGTGGCCTGGGCCCCTCCAAAGTTCTTCCTGGGTCTCAAGTCCTTACCGCACACAAACTCAGGGCGCCACTGGCGAAACAGGGGCTCCCAGCCGTGTCTCGCCTTCCGTGGTGAAGAAGATCCGCGACATAGGCCCAAGGGGTAGCGTGAACGGTACACTAAACCACAGGGTGCCTTGAGCAGAGCTAGTGACATTCACACAGCCACCTTGCAGGTGACATTCTGGATGAGGCGCAAGCAGACGTCTACAAGGAGGAGTGGTTGTCACTCAAGGCCGTCATTGTATCATTGCCTCGATGTCCTTGTCATGTACAGGGTCGGATCCAGCCCAAGGATGTTTTAAGACTTAGAAGCAAGGTTACCCCGCCACTGCTGCGGGCGTACCTTCCCTTAATGCAGCTTGGACAGATGTCTGGCAGTTTCTTTGCTTTAAACGTGCGCATCTACAAGAAGCCGCATCCAGTACCGAAAGCTATATTGCACATGGAAGCAGATGTGGGTTTTGCCTCGTCCATCGCATCTGACACTGAGAGTTCCAAGGAAGAGCTACCCCGAGGAAGCCTTCAACGACAACGTGGGAGACCGCTATGTCAACGTGGCTCGGTTAGGTTGTTTTCGGGTCCAGCCAGTTGCTCTGCAAGCCAAGCAGCCTAAGGCAGCCACCCGTGAGAGCCTGTACTTCTACCAGATGCAGTTTTCCGTTGCCATTGATCGGCTTGAGAAGGTGGGCCGCGATCTGTACGTTTACATGGTGATACTTAGTTTCTTTCAGTTCTTGCCTTCTTTGAGTGCCTGTCGCATGCACAGGCCGTTGCAAACCACAAGGTTCGCGAGGTGGAGGAAGCACCATCCTCAGAGTCCTCAGGTCAATTTGCCAGTCTCAGGCTTCATGACTCAAATGAAGAATTGGGCATCTGATGGGAGTGATTACGCAATGAGGCATTCGCCAAAACATCCCTGTCATATGACAGATACTTGAAGGCCGGTGACCTCTACACAGGCGGGCAAAGGGGCTTCCTGAGCAGCCCAAGTGCGTGTATTGATGACGTCATGATTCAGGGTTTAAGATTTACTAAAAGCTCGTCGTGCAGGTTATGACCCAGTGACCTCCACGACGGTCTTCTTCCAGAATGTGAGCGACAGTCAGCTGCAGTACACTCCGCTGGCCCTGCAGCAGCCGCAAATCCGGGACGAGGTGCCATGTGCTGTGCACAGCTTGTAGACTCTTGTAGACGTAAAGAATATGTGGAGCTATGCTGGGCGTCCGTACAGGCACCATGCCTCAAGCTAGTATGTTTTGAAGCATCGGAGTAAACCACGCAGTCTTGAGTTTGAGCATGGTTGCGCTGTTTGCAGAGTGAGAGAGGTCTGGCTTGAGATTTCATACCAAGGTCTTGGTGCTGCAAGGGCCTGACAAGGGCAAGGCGCCGGGAGCTGTAGACCCACTAAGAGCTCGAACCCATTGAGGTACTTGGAGGGTTCCTGAAGCAGCAGCAACAGAAGCCATCGGCAGAACATTTAGATTCGCCATAAGGTGGACACAAAGGCACCTCATGTACGGAGCAGAGACTGACGCTGAGTGGCACAAGCATTGACACCTTGGCATCAAAGTTCCACGTCACAAGACCTGGGTAGCAAGACACTGCCATTTTTCGAAGGAATTGTGGAACATAGTGGAAACATTGCTAGAATTGTTTGCAGGTTGGTTCTTTAACGCCCATTAAGAGTTGCACATGGCTGGTGTCTACGCGGCCTTGGTTTAAGACCGATTAGAGCGACACCAATATGCTTCAAGCCTGGTTTCAAATGCTATGCTCGTAGTGAAAGTAATGCCGGCAAATGGGGCTCTGCTGCTAGTTTATCGTTTGCAACATCGGCTAGGTGCGCTGAAAGACCGATTAGAAGTTGCCACGAACACGCAGCCTTTCCGAGTTCGCAGATGTGCTGCGGCTGATGCCGCGGTAAGACATGCAGGGACTTGCAACTAGCAACTAGTAGACTGGTAGTCTTAGCCGCTGCAGTCTGCCACGAACTTGTATGGGAAATCAACAGCAAGTCTAATGAAAACCACGTACCTCATGGCTTTCTGCGGGAGCGGGAGCAGCGCAGGTTGGGCGCATCATCTGGCTTGGCAGAGAGAATGGCGAGGACTTGGACAGCAAGGCCAGTCCAAATCGCTCTTGGGGTGAGGTTGCCAGTGCTTGTGTGTGCCGAACGTCTCATGGAATTATCCTTTTTCTACTAAACTTTGAAGAACCTCGACTGCATATGCTGCGCATGTGGTTGCAGGTGCTAACAGCCGTTGTGAAGCTGGAGCCCAACCCTGCATCTTGGCCGAAGCTTGGAGCATTTCGGAGCAAAGAGAAAGCCATGCCTTGCGGGGGGACACGATACGTGCACTTGGATTCTCAGCTCTCTTGCAAAGCCTGTGTGGTGGATGCTGGACATTCCCCTCAGGTGCTTGGTCAGTCGAAAAGTGGTGGCGTATCTTGATGAAAGCATGCGTTGGAAGACTCCGAGATCAAAGTCGCGAGTGCCACGTTGGGCCATGTGTGAACTGCTGTTACTCTGAGGTTCGGGAAGTCAAGGCTTACCCATACTCGTGGCTGGTCATGACCCGCGGCAGCGATGAGAGCTACATCCAGGACCTGGTTCTGGCCACGGCAGTGCCTTGGCTGTAAGGCTTTTGCCAGCTCTCAGAGTTCTCTTTCGGAATGACTCAGGCGGCAGTGGTATCCTGTGCCGTGACGTACCCGCTGGAATCCATCAAGGCACCGTTTAGACTTGACACGGGTCCTGAGCCCTCTAGTGCTCTTGGCATGCTCCCTGGAAAATGCACCTTGGCTTCGCCGTGACAGATAGTAGCTAGCAGCAGCTAGCAATAGAGTAGGAGCCTCTTGGCCAGTACTGGCTGTTTACCATGCTCTCCCTAGGGCAGTTGAGGAGTATTCTTGAAGGTTTTGGGGGGTTTCGGTTGTTCAGAATCATTATGGCCGCCTGTGTGGCTCCGCTGCATCTGGTGGGGGAATTGCAACAGATTCGTGTTCATCATGTCTGCTTTGTTCTAGACGCGATGCGGTCCATCCGGATAGGCCCGTGCGCAATCGAATCTGCCACCTTTTCCGCCTGAGGGGCCGCAGGTGACACTGCTGCAATCATTTGGATGTAAGGCCGAAGAAAGTAGTTGGAGGAAAGCAAGCAGCTGTCACTTATCTTTAGAGTGCCTCCTACGATCGTTGATTGACATGAAACTTGGAGACCAAGAGCCATTCTGAGACCACTGTACGCCAAGGCTCTCTTTCAGGGCATTGAGCTGAACGTCCTCCGGGAGGTCCGAGTAGCAGAAGCACAGTGGTTTTCCTTTGATGTAGAAGGACACTGCCAGAAATGCAGCTTACTTAGTCTTGCGCGCTTGTGTGTTTCAGTTTCCTTACGTGAGCAGTCCTTGGAAGATGGCTGTAGCAAGTCTCACCCTACATACCTGCAGCCATTTTGTGGAGTTGCCTGCTGCAATGCTAACGTGTTAAATCCCTCACCAGCCCTGGCAGCAGGCACCCAACGCCGGCTTCTTGATGGCCGGATTCAACTACTTCACCCGATGGGCAGCAGCTTGGGCAACATCTGTTTGCTTCTACAGGATATGCACCGCAAGACTGCACTCCGCCACTGGCTTGCTCGGTGAGGTGGGTCTTCCATTCGTGAATGGGAACGATCCCAACTTGAAGTTCATGCTGATGATCCCCTCAGGCCACTGTTACCAGGAGCTGCCTATCGAAAAACAATTACATCATAATCCATGAGCGGTTGAGACATAACCAGCAAAAAGTGACACTATAAGCAAAAGTAAATTGAGTTTTGAAATGCTTACAGACTTCCTATGGCTTGTACACTGCAACCACAGTCCTTCTGAAAAATTTCCGGATCTGTTCGAGAACTGAACGAAAGGAAGAGAAAGCAGGCGTTCAAGGAAGACTGTAAGAAATAAAAACAGTCAGGAACGCGTAAATGAAAAAAATAACAGACACAGGGAGAAATACATGTCATAACTTTCCATCTCGTGCTTCATCGTTTGTGCTTGTTTAACAGCTTTCATCATGTTTGCATCATCCATTGTTTTTGTATGCTTCTCTCATTTTCCATCAGCTTTTCCATCATCATCATCACCACCACCATCATCATTGTTTTTCATGCTATCACAACCTTTTTTATCGTGGTCAGTCACGGCATAGCATTGTTCGTGATGTTCATCATGTTTCAGAATGTTTTGAATCGTTTTTGCATGTTCATCACTTTTCATCATTTTCCATCGTCATGTTCATCATATTGTGATATTTCAGCACTGTTCATCAACAATAAAATTTATCATAGTTCACCATCTCTCAGTTTCCACCACCACCACCACCACCATCACCATCACCACCATCATCATCATCATCATCATCATCATCATCATTCTCACTATATCCCACAAATTTCAGCGTTTTCAATCATGTTTTATTAATGATCTTCGGCGCTTTCTTCTATCATTTACGTCGATTTTTGTTTTTCTTCATGTTCTCGTCCCTTTCAGCAAGATTTCAGAACATTTCCATCATATTCATGATTTGACATCATCTTTCCATCGTTTTGCATGGTTTGAAAATCCGGGGGGTCGCGCCTCCCAACCTGTCCGCTGATTGTTCACAGACCAAATGCAGGCGAGCATCTGCACAACAATTACATTGGTACAAATGCTGTTGTATATGTTTGCTACTATCTCGTATTAGTTTCATTATGTGTCTGTTCCCTGAGCATGGAACATTGATAAAATGAAAATGGTGGACCCCCTTGCTGGTTCAGCGCAGAACCAATCTGCACAGAGTGATTTTGCTAAAAACACTAAATCATACTTCATAATTTTCAGCATATTCCATGATTGTTCATTTTTATAATTATTCAAGATTTTTTCCATCAGATTTTATCGTTCGTGGTGACATTGTATCACGTTCATTGTCTTAAATGCATTTAAGCATTTTCCATCATGTGCCATCATCGTATTTCACTAACTTATGTCACATTTCATGACATTTCATCATTTTCTAGTATCTTTCACAATCTTCTGTTATCCTTCATCATCTTTCTTCATCTTCATCATTGTCATCGTACCTTCATCACATTTTCATCACTCATCACATGTACCTCATGTAGGTGTTACATACTTCATCATACTTCATGGTTTCCCGTCATTTGCCAGCATTTCCATGATTTTGCAGCAGTCTTCATCACTTACATCATGTTAATAGTTTTCATCATGTGCCATCATTTTTCATCACGTCCCATTGTTTTGCGCAATGTTTCATAATTTTTCGTCATGAGGGTCCAAACGTGACGACAGTTACAAGGATCACGATCCCGACCCGCACGATCCCTGTGAGTGTCGACACTCTTGAAACGCCTAGCTGATCCGAGGGCCCAAAAGTGACGACAGTTGCCAGGATCGGGACCCCGACCTCTGCCATGCCTGTGACTGTCAACACTTGGCTAACACATGTAGTGTTTTTGACTGTCGTTCAATTTGTTTCAATCTGCAAATTTTGATTTCTTCTTGACTCATTCAGATTCAGTCAGTTTTTTTGATAGGTCACCCGTTCCGAGAAGCTGATGCAAGCCCATGAAGCATTTAGGGTTTGGTGGGCCTGCTTGTTGAAGGTGTGGTGGCAATGTGCACTGGTGCATTTGCCAAAACGCCCGTCATTGACATCAGCAAGCAGGTCCCAGTATTTTTCTCGACATGGCTTTACCTTTGGTGCTCTGTTTTTGCGAGGTCCAAGCAGGACTTGCCAAGGATGCAGGGGAGGCCGTTCAGATGCTGGGCTGCATGAGTGCTGTCTTGGATGCTCTTGTTCGAGGGCTGTGGATACTTAAATGGTGCTTGAAAAGATGTCAATTTGAATACTTTTGTGTTCTAGGTGGCGCTGTTCTTTTCTGCCGTTCATGTGGGCAGGACACGAATTAGTGCAGGGGCAACAGTGGTTGCCGGAGTGTACTTCCCGTGCACTGACGCACAAGGGGGGGGGTGGGAACAAGCTACTGTACACCACTTCACAGATGACTGGCTTGACGCCAGGTTGTGGCTTATACAGTGACAAGCCCAAAAAACAGTACACTCCGGCAGGTAATTTCAAATCATCTTCAGTCCTGGAATTCATCCGAGACATGTGGAGACCATTGGAAGTAGTGATTGTCCCAATGTGCGCATCAGTTTTCAGTATTCTGGGTGCCCGGGAAGCTGCATTCACTTTCTGACATTCGGAACCCAAGCAGATGGATGTGAGCGCATGCAGATTCCTTTGTTTGGCCTTCGGAGTCTGTGGGTGCCTGCCAAATGGATAGGCGACTGCTGCGTGTGCTGGCTTGTCGGGGTGGTTTCCGCATCATTGCCGTTGAGAGATTGATAGAGTTTCTGAGCATGGCTGCTATCACTACACCAGACGGATGCTGAGGAATGTCTTCTTCAAGCCCACGCCAGTGCAGGCCAGAGGTTTGTATCAGCCCAGGGGTCCAAGAGGTTCGTGGGATTTTGAGAGGAGAGCCTGTTGGTGTAAGTTGATGAAGCACTACGTGGTGGCTGAATGGTCTCGCGGAAGGTGACCAAGAAGCTCGGCAGAACCTTCATGCTCACCGTTATCCGCGGGGTGCATCACTCGGTCTTGGCTTCGTAAATTAATAGTTGTATCACGTTGTGTTGGTTTAGGCGGTAGACCTTGCTTGCGTGTCCGGGACTGGGCACGGGCAGGTGCCGTTTGGTGCTTTCCAGTGCTTCATCTATGAGCTGTTGAAGGCGGCAGAGCAGATGGGTGTGTGAGCTGGGAAGGCAGTTCAAGTAAATACGGGTTGCAAGCAAATGCCTTTGAAGGATCAGACGCCAGCGTTGCTTGAGAACCTCGGGGTGCTCTCCTCAACGATGCAATAAGTGACCAGTGTTTCTCGAAGATTCTGCTAATGATCCAACATGGTGGCTCCTTGGACTTCGTCATCTCAGCTCGTCTGAGAAATCTTTAGGTGCCAATCTGGTCCGAGCCGTTCATTTGGGGCGGAGTGGCCGGATTCTGCACGGGTTACTTGACGAATCCTCCGGACTGCTCCGCATGGCTGCATTCGAGTTTCTGCATATTTACCTGACTTGGACTTGGTATTTGTGCGTTGAGAAACCATTTCTGTAAGATGCTGTGGGGATGGGATTAGTGGAAGCTTCCGCAGGACGTCGTTATGCAGCGCTTGGCGCTGGAATCCAGCTCCGAGAGCGAAGATCCGGACCCGCCCTGTCCCGGGTCTAGGCTTGGACTGACCGTCCCGCTTGGCAGGACAAGCCATTCAGCGTTGTGGAGACTTGGGAGGAAATCGTCCAGGCAACTCGCAAGGCCTGACCCCTGTGCCTTGTTTGTATCCGCTAACCATGTTAAAGCCCACCGGGGCTTGTGGGATGAGATTGGATGAATGGCATGATTCCCTCACCTGCCAGATCTTGGAAGAAGAGGGTCCAGCAGGCTTCGCCAAAGGCGGGCTTGAGACGCTCTTTTGAAAGTGGCTTCAGCCATGAAACAAGATTTCGGGCTTTGAGATGGGTTGTGAACAAATCGTGAAGCACCAAAGAGGATCTGCCAGCGCATTGCAGATGCACGGGTTGCATGAGACACATTCGTGTGCATCCAAGGAACGCCCTCTACTTCTTGCCAGAGGCGATGGTCTGGTTTGGGGTCTACGAAGGCCTCAAAGGTGTGGCAAATAGAGTCTCAGCTGCATTCAACAACTCAGAATTATGCGCGTTGTGCGATCTTTCCAGCAGGGGCGTGCATTTGCAGGGAAGCACCTTCCCATGGGGCTAGAGAAGACTATTTCACATTTGAGTTTTCTGTTGCCTGAGTGCAGCATGCCACTTATCTCATCAATGACTCTTGCAGGCTCAGCAGTCCAGCTTCCTTGTTTGCCCAGTCTGCCTGGTCCCGTGTTCTGTTTGGTTGAGCCCAGGCGTTTCGCAAGCCTTCTAGCCAGGCCAGAGTTGTAATGAGTGACGCGCCTTTGCCCCAATTGCTTTATCTTACGCAGACAACGGCAGATTGCCCATCAATTAGGTAGAAGAAAAGCGGCGCCGCCACTCCCAACAAGGTTTGCTCGGTCACAACACCTCCATTTTTGGATCAGACGGGCTGTATGCTTGCCTGAAGGGACGCATCATGCCACGGACATTGTTGGGAGTAAGCTTGTCTGGCTGCAGTTCTTGAATCCAACTTGGGAGTGACGGAAGGCCCTTCTGCACTAATTTCTGTGTCTGGCGATGTCTTGCGGAGCCATTTGCAAGAAGGAGTGTGTTTCGATAAGTCCGTTGCTCCGCACGGCCGTGCCGGACCTGCACAGCGACTCGAACAAAAGCTTCTGTACGTACTCCTACAAGTGCAAGGTGTTCTACCGTGTCTAGCCGGACAGGAGCTCACGTGTGGGTCCCCACTGAGGGAATCCAACCCCTTTGAAGCGCGGAATTTTCGCTGGATCTGCCCTCCGTGAAGCTGCAGGTAGGGTTTGATACGCGTACTTTCGACATACAGTGAGCCAGACTGCAACTACACACGACGTGCCCCAGGATGGCTTCAGGGTGCCTTCACGGTGGGATGGGATCGCATTTCTCAGACAGTCACAGCAGCATATTTTAAGGGCAGCGTGTGCAGGCTAAGTGAAAGGGCCCATGTCTGCTGGGCTCCACCCGCTGGACTCAGGGTAGACTTTGAGGTTTGCGGCGAAAGACTTTGCGGTGCAACTCTTGTCAGCGTCGTATCACCACACAGCCTTGCGCTCTCGCGGTCCCAGTTTTACTTGTTATTGTTCCCTTCACTTCTCTCAAGTGAAGTTTGTGCACAGCTGTAAATATGAATTCAGCGAGCTTGCACGTTCAGCCAGACAGATGTGCCTCGGGGCTTCAGGGAGTTGAGACGATGCAGCCACTCTGAAGGGCTGGTGATAGATCAGTGTAGTTTCGACTGCAGGTGCTGTCAGATGTAGCGTGACATGGAGCGCATGGGCGTCTGGTATGAGGCGACAATGTCGCAATGAGGGTGTTATGTTGTCGCCCTAGCCGTGGAACTCGATTTGTATCAGCTTGTCCTGCTGAGCACAGCCGAGCAAGCCAATCTGGCAGAGCTTGTTACTTCAGTTGCTTAGGGGAGGATTCTGCAAAAGGATTGGCCTGCCTTCTGTATGAGTGTCACTCATGCCTGTCCAGGGACACAATTTTCGTTGTTCAGTCGGCACAAGATGAAGTCCATGACAACCGCAAATGCTCACCGAAGAATGATATGCGAGGCTGCTGTCAGAACGCATTGGCTACAGCATGGCTTTTCAAAAGTGTTGTTGGTGCTGGGCTGATATTAAAAACAGAGACCCTCAATTGCGATTCCTGCTGCCGCGCAAAACTGAAGCACCTTGACTGCCTTCCTTGATGTCTGCAGTCACAGACTGAAGCCATACACAGCCGTCTTGGACCCTATTGGCCACGTGCTGTGCCAGGACCTCTCTGAAGATGAGGCTGAGGTGCCAAGACGCCTGGTTCCAAGGTGCTGAAAGACAATTCAAGGAAATCATCCTTGTGAGTTGCATGAGGTTTTTTTGTGTCACATCAATTCTGCAGCTCTGCATCTTTATGATGGCCCAGGCCCGGTCAACGTGCCTGCTCCAGGTAGTCCTACACAGGTTGCTTGGCTCATGCCAAGCTCTTTGCATCAGATGTTTGTCAAGGAATGTCAAGAGATGCTTTTTACGGCCTGCATGAACCCTTTGCTTGCCATTAGCTTTTTGGATGCCACTGAGTTTTGTCTACATGTGTCCCGGGCGTCGTAGCACGATCTGAACAGAAAGTGCAAGATGCAACCAGAGAATCCAGTATCGAATCCGCAGCACTTAGATCTGATTGTGACTGTGAGTTCTGTTGGTACGACCATGAGCAAGGCACTTGGCAGTTCGAGCGGCAACCAAGCCCTGAAGAGCGACGAGACTCTGCGAGAATCCTCAGCTGGAGCTCAGGTGATTCTGGCTTTGCTTAGTCATAAGATTTTTGCCATCGTGTCCAGCAAGGTGTGCGCTTTCTTGACAGCTATCCTCAACGCAGTCATCGCCAGGTCCGCGGGTCCAGCTCAGCCCATCGAGCCAAACGCGCGCGGCAGGCAGACAAGCAGGAGCCAAGCAGGAGCTTTCAAGGGTGTGGCCGCAGAGCCTAGCTGTAGCTAGTTTTTTTTTTTTTTTTTT